ATCAGTTTTTATTTTTAATGTCTAACGGGAAACTCACAATGAATCTTTGCCGTCTGTTTTATGAGCAGCTCGAAACTCCTCACGGGAGCTAAATCTGCTAAATCTCTAAAACACCAATGAGACCGTGTTAACCTTTTTTTTCTCAACCTTTGAGTCATAACTCTGAGATTAGAGGTACTAAGGGAATGCCTGTAGTTTTTATACATGCACAACAATTCAGATTCGATGTGGTTATTCTGGTCCATCTCTGCACTGAGGGCTGTTAGTGGTGTGAGGTGAACTTTAATGCGTCCACCCTCATCTTCATCCATGCATACAGGCATGGATCCATTAGAATGATTCAGACATGGATATAAGATTGTTTTCCATCATCTAAACCTCCAAAACGTGAACTCTTATTTAGATCCTCCTTCCCCAGACACTGCTTTGATCTCTTCCTGTGGGACCTGTTTGTGCCACACAGGATTCCCTGATAAGGCTCAAAAGCAGGCAGCAATTACACTCCTAATTACACAGGCACAAAACCTTGACCTTGCACTTGGTTTACCTGCCTCTGAATTCAACTTCTGTTGACTCAAACATAAACAGACTTGGCACTGCTCAAACTTCTATGCACAAATTAAAATCAAAAGAAAAAAAAAGAAAAGAAAAAAAGCTCATCTACAAAATGCACGGACTGTGCATTTTGTAGGATGTACCCCAGCAGCCGGTGTGGAGGTGTGATCTCACAAGGTGAGTGGATGCTGGAGGAGAAGGCTGCCTTGCTTGCGGTCAGCGGGGAGGCAGCGGGGCCTCAGGGAAAAGCTCTTAACTTCTGTCAGGCACAAATAACCACGCCATTTTTCACCTCCTGATATTTAACGGAGGAAATCACTCCAGTCCCCAGTCATGTGAACTCTACCCACACGCCATGAGTCAATTTCGGCTCTGACAGGACGCTGCTCATGCTTACCCCCCTATTTATTTCCTGCAAAACCTCCCCCCCCCAAAGTTAAGTGTTTGGGAATATTGAGCATAGTATTCAGATTTAATAAGCTGTGGGCTACAGGAATGTATTTAGCTCAGACTGTTGTATCTCCTCCTCAGGGTGTCTTCTCTTCAACACATTTGTGATCATGCAGCGTTCATTGAGAACATTTTTATAACATTTTAAAAAGTTTTCCAAATCTTACAAATGCCATTATTTGCAGATTTTAATGAAATCCTGCAGAAACTCAAGAACTCATAAAAGATTCATTAAAACTTCTGATATGAGAAAAACAACACACGAGTCACTTTTAACACTGTTATTGTCTTTATCTCTGATTGGAAAAACCCTGAAAAAAATGTAGAAATCACATATTAATTAGTATCTAAGGGAATTTGTCTTTATACTGACCTAATGTATCAGCAGCCTGAGGTGGAGTGTGGGCAGTGATTTCCTGTGGTCAGGCTGCTGCTACAGTAGGTGGTGCTGTTGGGAGCTCTGCCTCTGAGGGAAGAAGACAAACTTGAGAGTGTAATGCTGTAATAGACACATCCAAATCATAAAAGTGTACAGCAATCGTGTGAGTGTAGCGATCCTGCAGTTGTGTTTTTGTTCAAATGCACTGTGTGTTTCTGTGTAATTTACAGGAGAGCTGAAACAACAACAATGACTTCTGTTCTGCCTCCAGGTCTGCACTCCTCAGGCGCTGATTCTTAAAGTGAAAAATATATAAGACAAGTGCCCCCCCCATGCTCGGGTATGTTGCCATACATCACATCATTTAACCGTCTGCACTGTCAGACATGTGTCACTCCGACTTCTCTCTTGGTACCTTCATCTTGTCGGAGGGAAATCATAAATACAATCATTTCCCCCCAAAGTTGGCGCTTTATTCTGTCAACCGGCTCCAGAATGTGATTGTGCCTGTTCATTTCAGACGCATGAATAAGTGAGAGGCCATTAATATGTCTCTTTCATTACACCCTGGCACTCTGAACTATGCGAGCATGCGGAGAACCGCGTGTTTTCCCGGGCTCGGGGTTCTGATGTCCGATTTGTAAGGCAACAAAGATATGTCAGCGTGTCCGCATGAAGAGGAATTTCTTTCTGAGGAATCATGTTTCTCTTCCTGCTGTTTAGACAGGAAACTAGTGCAGTGCATGGGGATCAGTGGATTTTATAGAGTGCATTTCTTGGCTTTAATTTAAAAATGTTTGTGCTCATGTTTAATTTTAATCTTAACTTTTATGAAGATTTTTTTTTTAAAATCCCAATGCACATACAGACATCGTGAATACTGTCCAAAGCAGTCAGATTAATCTATCTATTTCTAAAAATAATGCTGTTGTTCTACAAGCCCACTTTCTCTTCTTTTCTATCAGCTCTCCTTAGACAAGATTAGAGGGGAAACTCATCAGTCTCCTTGGCTGTTGTCTGATAAACTTTTTATTTGAAGGGTGTCCTGTCTGGTGTCTCTGGTGTCTTCCTCCAGTGCGCTCCTGATTTGAAATATAGCCTTACATAATGAGGGAGAAAAATAGAGCGGTGTTGCACCCCTGAGCCGGTGTCAGCTTAATCAATCATTTTTAAACACAGGCAGGCATGCTTACTCTACTCGCTTCACATCCGCCACATCCTTCCCCGGCTCAACAATGTGACAGCAGCATAATTCATTTTAACTCAGAAATTAAACAGGCAGCACCTAACTTGTCCTTGCATCCTGTTTGGTTTAAACACAGCACAGTGCGTTGATATGAGTCTCTGTTTATGCTGCTGTTGATTGTGCTTAAAAGTGCATCCATATTCCAATCTGTAAGGTGCAAAAAGCACTCTTCTTTATCCTCATCTTTTGAAATGCATGCACACACAATGCAAGTTGAGTGTCTACACCTGTGCACCATGTGTATTTTAGCATTTTGAAATCCTGAATATGCTTCCCTCAAGTTCAGGTTTGTCTGCTTCAGAGCTGAACATGCAACAGGCGTGGAATGTTTCAGGGTTCACGTGGTCAGATTGCAGCGGGTCAGGAGGAAGGGAAATTTGGAGGCGTTTAAGCTGAGCAGAAGGAATGGAGCTCGGCCTCTTCGCTTGGCAGTGAGAGATTCCTCCTGGCTCTCTGTCAAGAAGTCATCCTTTACCGTAGCACTGCTGCAAAAAAGTTATGTCATGCTCTTGTTGGTCTTGGACAGGAAAACATGAACACAGATTCTTTTAGACTAAGTCCATCCCTCTGACTACACCGATTTTAAACTGTTGTTGCTCATCTCTGCACTTTCATAGGATATTCAAACATGAACTAAATACAACATTTTATTGTCCCTTTCATTGTCTTATATTGTCTGATTTACACCTGCACATGCTCACTAAAATAAGTTGATGCACACAACTGCATTTTAAATCATTACAGCCCACGGCTACTTTGTTTCCATTTCCTCTCTTGCAAGAGAAGATCTAGTTTGAAAACAACCAGATAAATAAAAGATTGGTATCCATAGCAACACTTTTTGATAATTTCCACAGATTTTTTGAAATCATATTTATCAAAATGGTGAATTACATTTACATATACCAATTTAAACTATTAAATAGCCTAGTCATATACCACATACACTCTTACATTATTGAGCATTCTTGAGAAATCATAGCTTAACTATTTTTTTAGGCATGTTAGTGTATAGCCTTAGCTTTTTTTTTATAAAGACAGTAACTGTCTGTGTATTGAATGAAGTCAGATGTGTTAATATTAAAGGCATGCATGGTTTCAATCAAGTAGAATCACCATGGTGATTCACTGGTTTTTGATTTTTTTTTAGGTTGCAACTAATGTGAAAGAAACACCTTGTAGTAAGTACGCCTGATTTAACTGATAAAATGTGTTTTTATTCAGGTGTGTGCACCGCTGAAAGGGATCTAACACTCCCTCCTCTTCCTGATCTTTCTGGCTTGTAGTCTGGCTCTGCTCTGAGAGGCCAGGACCATGTCAAAGTCCACGTGCACCGCTTTGAAGGGGCGTGTCTCCTCCTCCCAGCCTGCCCCGCTGGTCACATGCAGGAAGCGTGCTGTTTGCAATTGCTGCGCAACAAGCAATGCGCTCGGCTGCCGGAGTGACGTTTGACAGCGTCTTTTTCACGACACCGTACGTCTTAAAAAAAAAAAAGCGTATCTCCTCTCCAAACTGCTGCCAGTCTTAACTTTTATCCCAACAAAGCGGAGACAACACGTAGGTTAGTGTGCGAGGAAAGGAGAGACTCCTTTCATCAGCCCGCGCAGACTGCTCAGACATGCAGTCCGCTCCTCCCACAGGACGGGGGAGATGATGATGATGAGGAGGATGATGATGATGATGATGATGACGATAAAAATGGTGGCGGTGATGATAAAAATGATGAAGTGCACTCTGGTTATATCTTTTTTTAAGAATCTTAGACATGAAAGTTGAGTTGTTTTAGGATAAGAAGAAGATTTGGACCGCTTATGCTGCATTCAGGGGAGGCAGCCATGGAGAATGAATAAACTGGAAATTATTCCAAGTGATAGGCTATTATTGGAAATTGGATTAAATCATTTAAATGATAGGGGACATTAAGCTTAACTGGAGACGATTTGTAGATTTATGATTTAGAAACAACACAAAAAAAGAAAAAAAAAAAAAAGCCATATGCTGTATAGGCTACATCCTAAATATTCATCCAGGTCATACTCTTTTCATTTTTTCTTTACGTTTTATAGCCTTGATAATTTATTCATTTTTGAGATTGGGCAAATGCCTGTTAGACGGATTCATTTTGTCAGTTTTAGCCAGTTTAAGTTTTAAATCCAGAATCAGATTGTAACTTTAAGAATGAAACAAAATGACATAAAGGTGTCCTTCAGTCAAAGTTAGACTAATAAACTATTCCTCTGACCATGCTGAACCTCGCAGGGGTCGATCAGCATGGATTACTTTCAGGCCTACATCTATTCTTCGGCTATTGACAACCTCTCCCTTCCCAGCCTGCATGAGTGGAGCTCTCACTAGCGCTGCTAGTGGACAATCAGACCTACACACCCACCTCCAGACACACTCGCATTTCTCATTTCTTACTTCTAGTCTAAATTAGATAGCGAGACGCGTTGTCGGAGCTCACACATCGCATAGAATTAGTTTCGAGTACTAGCTCTAGTTAAGCAATAAATCTGAAAATTCAACATGGACTCCCCTCCAGATCCAGCGAGCGACCCGGGCAACAGCGCCTCGGAGCCGGCTACCCCGGTCAGGGAAACCCCGGTAAACCTGGAGACTCTCCGGAAAGCGGACCATCCAGCCCCGGTTCGAAGGCAGACCTGTTCGAGCACCAACAGAGGTAAGCACACCTTTATTTCGCCTTTGAATGTGTGGAGAATTAAGCCCGATCGGTGGTTTTTTCAATCAAACTTCAAAACGAATTAAATCTCCTCCCTCATAAATAACCCCACACTGTCTCAATCCACCAAAGCACAGTGTCTGCGCTTTTGGTTTTTATTTGTCGGCTTTTTCAATCCCCGATCGGCTGTAATTAGTGCTTCGGTGTGTGTTGCTGCGTTCAGGCTCCACTGACAGCTCAAATCATAGGGGGGGGGGGGTTATACGGTCACAGATGTCACATTTACTCCGACTGTAGGATAAATCAATTACCCCCAGTAAGTCAAAAAAAAAAAAATGACCATCAGGAGCTTCTTCTGGTGCCAAAAGCTGCCCGACGTGACCGCTCGAACGCGTTAATGTCCAAGTGTTAAAAGTGAACTTTTTAGGGACTGTTGGCCAGTTTATCGATCACTCTCCCCTCTCCCTTGTAGAGACGTGTCCTCCACTGTTCCCCACACACCACAACACGGTCGTCTTTTATTTTTTTTATTTTTTTTTTACATCTAAGCTTTTCATGTGTGGCAAAAAAGACGCCCCAGCAGCTGGAATTTGTTTAAGCAGCAGTTCTCAAACACTGCTGCGAGCATGGAGCCGCCTCCTGCGAACAAAAACCTCCTCCTTGATCACACAATAAAACACCACACAGGACTGTGTGATCAATTAGCCCGTTCAAAAAGTCACTATGTGTGTTTGCAATCTGATTTCATTTCAACATGATTTATCCACCACCACGTCCCGTCCATGTTGTACAGTACAGACAGTATTTAACCACACCCCCCCCCCCTCCTCTCTCGGCTGTCTCCAGCACAGGCTAACATCCAAGTTCAAAAGAAAAGAAGTGAATTCTCTGCTCATTCTTTGGCATTTCTTTGCTGTATACATGACATGTGTGGTAACCGGCGTGTACGCGACAATTAATGCAGTGCACGGTGCGTTTAAAGTGTGCGCACTCCGCCTGTGCGCATGGGTATATTTAGAGAGTGATATGGTGAATGTGGAATGTAAGCTGGTTATGTAACAGGTTTAGCCATAAACAGAGGCGCGCAACTGAGAGCAGGAATCATCACAGACGATCTGTTCTCTTTAGACAACAGCTCACCCACTCCCTGTGATCACCACTGTTGTGAAATTAACTAAAAATCCCCGCACTCCAGCGCGCATTTATTCTCCAAAGAAGGGAAACTGTGTAACTCTGTGGGCTGGCACAGCCGGAGCACTTATGTAATAGCGGGGCAAAGACAGGTACTTTTGGAGGCTTCGTGGATTGATTTCCTTTTTTTTTTTTTTTTTCCTAGTTTCTTTTTAATGTTTTTTTTTTTTCTCCTTAAGTCTGACTTTGAGACTCTCCTAACCTGCTGACCCATATTCACCCCACCCCTTTTATGCACAGGATTAAAGTGTGTCTGGGAAAGAGAAAGACAGGAAAAAGAACGCCTTCAGTCTGTTATGTAATGCTGAATGGGTGGAAAAAAAAAAAAACATGTTCAGTCAGTGGGACCAACCTCTGCAGCTTTAGAGGAGTTCCCTTACTCTGAAACTTCAGTTTGACCCTTATCTTTAGAATTAAAAAGGATTGCCAGAGAGCATTAGCAGTAGTAAGCTTGAAAAAGAAAAAAAGTACTTTTGAAGAACTTATTTTAAGTCAACAAATGTTTGAAACTGGTTATGAAGTATTCCCCTATATCATCTTGTGCACGTTCTACTGTGTAGCTACAACCTTAATGTGTATTAGGAATAAATAGTTTGCTGTCATGCCGCCTGAATTTTAAAAATACATCTGAATGATACTTCTCAAAATGTTTTTAAAGGCATTATAAGACTGCAACAGTTGGCCTCAGTCTGAATGTGACAAAGTACAAAACTGTTCGGTGCATCCTGCATGCAGAAAGAGCAGAAGAAAAGTTTCCGTTCATATAGAAATGATGGCGTAATTACATGATTTAATGATGTACTGATGAAAAAAAGTGCAAGTGTTCTATTATGGAGTAAGTGCAGTTGGTTTTATGAGACTGGCACAGTACAGAGCAGGATTACTTAAATCATAAAACAATAAAGAGCGGTTATGGCTCCCGGTTGTCTTACAGAGTTGTGAGACTTTTTGTTGGTGGGGGGGGGGATCACACTTCAATACAATGAAACTTTTCAGGCCACAGTTTCCTCCTCTATATGCACCAGCTGTGTTGGACTTTCTAAGGATGCACATTTCTCCTCCTGCATGCAGAGCGTTTACTGTTTTGTGCTAATACCTTTTAAGTAGAAGGGGCTTACTTCAGCAAAAAAAAAAAAAAAAAAAAAGCTCTGCTGGAAGACGTGAGTGGGTCAGGGAACAGAGCGTGGAGGGCTGTGGATATCATTACTGGAAAGTAGAAACTGTTATTTTTTTTTTCATATTTGCGAGATCTTTCAGCTCGCAGATTTTTTGGAAACAATCAATATTAATGGCTCGGTTACGTAAGGTCGCGGTCTCTGCAGAGGCTGGAAATCTCACAGTCGCGAGAGGGAAGAATTTGAAGCTGCACATCTAATCAGTACTCTGGTGTGCTGTGTTTACAAGTGTTTGTACAGGTGTGTAATGTGTGTGTGAGTGTGTGTACAGCATGTGCACGTTTTGATACTTTCAAAGTAGTCTTCACTGAGTGACACCGACCATTATGAATATCTTGTTAGGCTGTAAATAATCTAAAGTTTGCACAGTTACAAGGAGTCATCTGCACATAACTTTCCTTTGTTAGGGAGGACAGGGGTGAACGAATGGCTACTCAAGAGGCTGAATATATCATGTTGTTGCCTTTAACATGACGAGGTGAAAAAGCTCCAGCCACTCTTATAGTATGAAGATCATCTTCACAAATTAGACCGCCGCGTTTTCGGCTTATGGCCTTCATCAGGGTCATCAAGAAACAGATTGCAAACATAGCTTAAACAGGGTAGGTACAGAATATCCCACTCTGCTTTTAACAATATGAAAGTTGTCTCCAGTTGGAGTGTGGTGTGGTGTTCTGCACAGGGAAGTTTTACACTGTTCTTCTAATCAGCTCGTCTTACATAGAAAGAAAACCCCTTTGATATTTTTAGACTAAATTATGTCACGTTTTGTAGATTGTCCAATAAGGAGAAAAAAGAAAAAAAAAAGGGACCTGTTTTAAATGTTGGTTCACTGTGGGAAGCACATCTTACCTGACGCTGCGGTTTGTATTGATCCAGCTAAAAAAGAATCTGAGTGTAAAAATATGCAGACGTCTCCTAACGAACACACAACCAGACTTTCATCCAGCAGTTTTATTTCGGGCAGCGGGATGAGAGCTCTCAGCTGGAGTGGCAGCTTTTTATTTAGTTGTTGTGTAAACAAGATGGAAGAGGTGCACTGTTTTTTTTTTTTTTTCTCTTTTTTTTTTTTTTTTTTTTTTTACACAATAATCTCCAAAAGCCAGGAGTTGGCATTAGGGGGCTCGTTCAGCACTCGAGTGGACAGCCACATTATTGAGGCTGTGGCATTCTCAAATTCACTGAATGAGGGCTCTCTGCCCGCTGGAGAGCACCAGGATACAGGTGTTGGCTTATAGCTGAGCCTTCAGCTTGGACATATCCCAGAGATACAAAAAAAACAAAACTCCTTTAGGTGTTTCATTCTTTTTCTTTTTCTGGCTGACTGCCTGTAGCAGTATATCGAGTTTCAGTCCTGTGTTTTGAAGTGTGGGTGAAGTAATAATATCATGAGCTCTTTCATTGGAACGTGTCAGACAGTTAACAGAGTTAAATGTTAGTTGTCAGCTGATTTCAATTCAAAGCTTTTTCTTTGACACAGTGAGTCCTTCAGAATAAAACACCGGCCAGTTTAACTAAAAAAACTAAAAAAACAAAAAAAACACACAAAGTAATACATCAATAGGAAACTGAGCTGTTGTGTAGCTTCTGCTCTGTTTACACTTTGACACCACTGCCTTAAAAAACAAGAAGCTCTTCTTGTTCTACGCTTCAAAGGTCGAATCACACATGAGCAGTGTGCAGTAAAGCTTATCTAAGGAGGATATACCTGTGAATGTCATCAGGCTTAGTAGGGAAATGAGCACTGATTGAATTGATTTCATGTTGGCTGACCAGCATAGGTTTTTTTTCACTGTTAGTTAATTTTAATAAATAACACAATGTAGAATGTGTCATATGAATACTCAAAATGTCCTGCTCATATATAAAGTTCTTAAAAAATGTCCCTTAAATTATACATCTATTTTGTCTCTTAGATAATTTCCCTTTTTGTGGACAGGTTTGCTATATTGAAATATACAAAAAAATATAGTTATGCATTTTGGATATTTCTATATTATAAATAAAATATTTTTAAAAATTAAGCAGATGGATTTAGTGCCTCTAAAAAAACAAGTTGTGTGTTGGGTCTGTCTTTGCAGTAATGTTGTTTTTCAGTCTTGTACTCTCCTGTATCCTGTAGTGTATTTTTTGGTGACATAGTTGTCTCAGATTTTCTGTTAAACCCTAATATTCAAGTGTGTAAAGTCCTATTCTAACATCCAGAAGGTTTGAGTAACCAGGTCAAACATTGCCATAGAACACACCCACCCACGCATTTCATGGAATCTTTGATTGCACCTTTTTGGTGTGTTTGTAAAGAAACAGGAAGTTCTTCCATGAGGGGATTTAAGGTTTTAGTTTGGTTTGGTGTATCAGGGCTTCATCCAGGAGGCAGTAGATGAAGTTTTTTTTATACTTTTGATAATAATCAATGGAGCATTTAACTTGCTGTATGATCCTCTGTATGATCCTCTGTATGATCCTCTGTATGATCCTCTGTATGATCCTCTGTATGATCCTCTGTATGTGCACATCCACCATGATGTCGAGTGGATTGTTTACTTCCAGAGAAGCCGAGTGCAAAGACTGCTTTAGATTCTTTTGATGACATATTGTTTACAAACTTTTCATTTGTAATTTGTAACTGACGGT